TTAACAACACTATATGTTTTTTCCGCCTTTTTTTGTTTACCCGGGTGCACTATGAGCATGGTGCACCCGGGTGTATCATCTAATTTTCACCTCTTTGTGCAATGGGTATATTAATGCAATAATATATGCGTGTCTTGCTTGCCACTTTTAACGCATTATTTCATCCCTTCATTGCTAATTTTAGAAATTTATAGCTGCGGAGTACATATGGTTAATAAACTCATATTATTAGAATGTTTGTGGGAATTTGTCATATCAGATCTTAAATCAGAAATTGAATACAGTACGTATCAAATTTACAAGATATACTAGCTATAAATGTTAGATGATAGATGGTATAATACAAATGTTAGATTAGTAGATTATGAGGTGTTGTTATACAACGGTGTACTGTGATAAATTGATAATCCAAATCAAGCTAAGGAAATTATTATAATAAATTAATATTAAGTATAATAAGTAGGTACTAATTAATAAACATGCAACAAATAATGACTTGTATCACCAATCACCATGGCTTGGCCTGCTAGTTCGTAGACGGTTATACCTAATCCTTGAAGCTATGGAATCCCATGCACTCCACATGACTTGGATGAAAAGCGAGTGATGGCTTCTCTCCTCATTATACTCGGGCTCGGCATTTTTTAGCACAACCTTAATGCCTTGATTAACAGTATAGATGCCACCAGACGTGAGGGCAGCGATTGAGGCAGAACGAATACCACGAGGTGCCCACATGGTAGCACCACCAATGGCGAGTGAGATTGCTTTATCCGTCCAAACGGTCCTCTGACCACGGTATTCATAAAAGAGATAAGACGGAATGTCAATTGCCAAGAAAAGACTAGCAAAAAATCCTCCTGTGCGTAAAGTGTTAAAACGCATTGCATTGATTCCGCCACCAAATTTTGTTCTGATTGACGGTGCTCTATGGGCGAAACCCTTGAAGAAGTGGCAGAAACTCCCGCCCAAGGTGCCAACCATGAACCCTGAGCCGGCACTTTCAGCAAAGTATTCAAAGTTATATTCTCGTCTTTCTACATCAAACTCCAAATAGATGAAAGATCTATACATAGGTTTTTAACCTGTCGAGGAGTAACATGAAAGGGTTGCTATAAAAATTTCAATTATCAAACAAATTTTAAGCTCATAATTTTCTTTTCTAGCAATATAATCGATGGTTTTGATATCTTTCATACGTAGTAATATTAGTAATTAGAATCAATAATTGAGATTCTCGAACCCTACCTACACTTAATAAATTAAATTAAATTAGATCACTAGATTGTCAAATTGATAAGATGATTACTAAAACAAACCAACGCTAACTTACCTCAGAATCAGCTTCGATAGGGAATACAAGTATCAGAAGGCCTCGATAGACAACGTCAAGTGCGATGTGAGTGCGCTTCAATGGTGAACTGAGAGAGAGAGCGGCAATATGACGAGGCACTTAGGCAGGGCTATGCATGTTCACCCCTTTTTTTTTTCCTTAACAGAACAATTCAATGGGTTTATTTATAAACGAAAAAATTTGCCTAAAACTATCTTTTAGGGTTTTTCTACACAATAACCCTCCTTATTTCACTTTTTTTACGTTGTGCCCCTCCACATTGTAACCCGCAGGTCAGTGGCGGATCCAGGTTTTAGGGAATGGGGTACAAAATTAAAAATTAAAAATAAAAATCACAAAAAATACTTTTTTTACAAAAATTTACAAAGTATAATAAGGGTCCTGTTCTCTTCCGTTGAAATTCAGTTCAGTTCAGCTCTTAATTTATGACTAATGATATTGCTAATGATATAAAGCCAAATTTCATTCTTATAAGCTCTTATTACAACGATGACGACGACGACGACGACAACAACAACAACAACAACAACAACAATAATAACAATAATAATAATAATAATAATAATAATAATAATAATAATCAATAAGTAATCAATAATAATAATAATAATAATTGAAATAATAATAATAATCAATAAATAATAATAATAATAATAATAATAATAATAATAATAATAATAATAACAACAATAATAATAATACTAATAATAATAATCAATAAAAAACAATAATAATAATAACAATAATAATAATAATAATAATAATAATAATAATATTGATATTGATACAATTCATTGTTCAAATGGGTTAGATACATGTAAGTGTTTTGTGTTCTTTTTTCATAATACTATTTTATTTTAAAATTAAATAGTATATGTGTTTAAAATGTTTAGAGGTTTCAAGTTTTTAATATATTTTCCATAAATTTTATAATTATATAATATATTTTTCGTAAATATTTTAATATGTACATTTGTATATACACATATGTATAGTAATAAATAATCAATAAATAATCAAAGATCACTAATCCATAGTTAAAAAATCACTAATTAATCAGTTCATCAGTTCAGATCAGTTGAGTTCAGTCGTCAATCGGAATAGCCCTAAGTAGGAACTTCGTACTAATTAATAAACATGCAACAAATAATGACTTGTATCACCAATCACCATGGATGAAATGATGAACGAGTGGATCGGGTGATAATTCTGGTGAAATAAATATATAAATACAACTTTGCACTTTCATAATTAAAATCAAGATTTGAAAAAAAAAAATGATCAATTTATTTTAACTTTGTTACATCCTTCTAATACTTTTTCCTTTTTACTAAATCAAAAACAAATGTCAATTCCTGGTAAAAAAAAATGTCAGATCCTAACATTATAATAGACATTAAATTATTAAAAAAGATATATATTTTTATTTTTTTATATATAAATTTAATGGGTGGATGGATGGGTCGGATGATGGATCGGGTGATGGGTTGGATGAATCATCATCTGAATCCGACACGATCCGTCTCCCGACACATTCGATCATCATCCATCCGTCACCCGCTTAACTTCGGATTTTCATCCATATATTTGGATCGGGTGGATGGTTATCCATCGAATTTGGATGATATTGTCACCCTTTATGGTTGATTAGGTTGTTGTGGCAGACTATTGATAACAATACCTAAGAGACCGCCTATTATATTTAGGCGGTCTCTTTTTGTATCAGTTTTTTTTTTTTTTCACGGAATGGCTGGGGGTATAGCTGTACCAAGACTTCGAAAATGGGTTGTTCGGGTCAGGTATGGTCGGGTCAGTCAATTTCGGGTCGGTCAATTTCAGGTCAATCAATATTCGGGTCGGGTTCGGGTTGGGTCAATTCAGGTCAATGGTAATTCGGGTCGGGTCGGGTATCGGGTCAACCCTTCGGGTCGGGGCGAGTTCGGCTCGGGTCAATTCGAGTCGGGTTAGTCTTCGGGGACAATTAACGGGTCAAGTTCGGGTTGGGTCAAATTCAGGTCGGGTTGAGTGCGGGTCAGGTCAATTTTCGTCTATGTTAATGTAGAAATTTGACCAATAATATATTATAATTATTAATATGTATAAACTATAATAGTTGAATATTAATAATATATTCATTAGACAATTCCAACAGTACTATATACACAAGACGGTATTGTTTCATGTGTATGATCACTATCATTAATTGGTCAAAAATTCAAATTAGACAAAGTGAATAGTAGAAAAAAAATCAATTTAACACTTAAAAGAAGAAGCTAAGAGTAAAAGTAGTAATAATAACAATAACAAAAACTAGTGTTCCTAATCAAATTGACTCTTTATGAATTACGAGTAATAAAATACATACACAGTTCAATAGTATTATTATTATTATACACATAATACTATCCTATTTAATTTAGGTTATTTTTTATAAGTGTTTATTTAGGTAAAGTAACTAAGCCCTAAATCAGTTAGGTCATTTTTGAGTATTTATTAATTTTGGGTCAGGTCATTTTAGATATAGACCGGGTCGCTTTGAGTTTCGGGTATGTTCGGGACAATCAATTCGGGTCAAAATAGGGTCGGGTCACTTCAATTTCGTGTCACTACGGGTATCGGGTCAATTTCAGGTCAGGTCAAATCGGGTATCGCTTTAGTTCGGGTCAACTCCACTTCTGGTCGGGCATGGGTCGGGTCGGGTCAGCTTTATGTTTATGTCAATTTCGAGTTTACGTATTCGAGTCAACTTTGGGTCACGGATCAGGTCATTTGGGTTGGGTGTGAATTGTCAGCTCTACGCATGTACCTTACTCTGTGTACGTACCCCCTAGATCTGCCACTGTCGTACTTACATTGTACATGTATTCATTAATCAAAAAGATCAGTTTTTTTTCAACATTAGGAACCCTAATGATACATGTTATGTTATTATGTATATGTATCCTTGTAATTTATCATATCTAGATAATTTTTAAAGCAAAAGTAATCTATAGTACTAATCAATCATCATATAGCTAACATAAGTTGTGAGGGTTTATAAGGAAGCATCTCAATCCATGATTTGGACCCTAGGGTTGATAAATCTCAAGATTGTAGGAAATGCATATTAAGATCATATAATATGAACACTAGACAGTCATATAAATTCCCATGACAGCCTTGAGTTGATGGTGGAGGCGTATGCTGTAGAATAAAATTTTGATATTTAAAACTTAAAAGCAAAGTGGTCTAAATTTTTATAGTTAAAAGCAAAGTGTTCAAACCACCGAGATGGACTCTCAAAGCTGTCGTTGGGGTGTATCGGAGCAACTTCGGCATGTCGGGTCGCTATAACTAAAGATTATATTCTCGATTATGGACTAATTTTCATAAGGTTTCCAGAAATGTTATTTGGAATCATATATAACCACTATTTGGTCATATAAATTTGTGTGGTGACCTTGAGTTTTATGGAGGCATAAGCTGTAAAAATAAATTTGATATTTTAAATGCAAAGTGAAGAGTTATGACTATCAGGGAGTCTTGAGGTATATCGGAGCAACTACAACATGTATCTTTAATGGACCCGCAATAGGTAAAAGAAATTCAAAATTAAAAGCATCCACGATATTGAATTAATTTTGGAAGTTTTGAAACCTGGTGTAAATTTTTTTTCGAGATTATAAGGAATATATCATAGGATCATATATTGTTTTTTAGAACCGTATATGACCTCTAGTCAGTCATATAATGGGGTCTCAAAAACCGGTCTAGTTTCAGTTACATGGGTTAACCTTATTAGTTATTACAGCTTACATGCATGTCCACATAAGCCAGGCCCAATTACAGAATACAAAAACACTCGTAATGATTTCAAGAAAGTTAGTTATGTTTTTAACACAAAAGGGAAACTATATCAGATTAGGATGGTATTAGCAAAAGATAGATAATTAGAGAGCATGTGTAGCAACCCCTAATTATCTATAGTAGCCTTAAAGCTATCCGAAGGAACAAAAATAAGAGTTTGAAAGTACAAGCCAAAAGAAATACTAGCAATAAGAACTAAGTTAACTAACATCGGACAACACATGCTTATCAAAAGGTGCTGATGGAGAAGATTTTTTTTTTTTTTTTGATGGAGAAGAGTTGAACACCAGATTAGGCTGCTGGTAGGTTGGGAATCTCTGATGCATAAGCTTTAAAGACAGTATAAGGAGGGTATTTATAAGGGACTCTTTCACCCACCTTAAACCTTGTCTTCCCATGATAGCTAAGATATCGGCCACAAAATTACAAGACCTGTTAGCATGGAAGACAAAAACAATCCAGTTTCTTTTGAGCAGAGAAGCAACATCCCTAATGAAATTTCCAAGGTCACTGTCTTCAAAGGATTTAGGATCCTAGAGCATTTTAGTCAGAGCTTCAGCATCAGTTTTCAACTCTAGCTGTTTAGTATCTTTACTCCAAGAAGTGATCAAACCCTCCCTAATGGCAAGAAGTTCAGCAGTAGCTGCAGACATAGCATTGAACCTTATTGCAAAACCAACAATCCATATTTCTTTATCCGACCTTATAACACCTCCTCCTCCTGCATTATCAAAGTTCATCCAAGAACCATCTATATTGAGCTTGTAAAAGCCTTGCTAAGGTGGAACCCAAATCCTAGCTGATGAGTTCACTGAAGAAGAGGAAGGTCTATCTATACTTCCCTAAGTTAAACTGTTAAAGCCAAAGTATAATT